ACAAGTGGCAACAAATATATATAATAAGAGAGTATTCTTTAAATATAACTTTATAATTTTATAATACTTAATTTCAAATAATGTATTAAAAAAATGTAAATGACTTTTCAGAGAAAAAAAGGCTATTTGTAGTTTCTTTTATGGTTATTATACCACATCAAAAAGCTGATTTTTAATTGCCCCCTAGTGTGCATTGTGTATGTTTGCAGGCGTCCATAGGCTACAGTAACCATTTATCATCAGACGGGCTGTATGCTTGTTTACCTTAGTATAAAAAAAAAACTGCAGTTTTGACTCTTATTTTTATAATTGACAGCTTTTACCTATATCTCTCCAGTGTCAGTCCCATATTTATCACAACTGAAGTAGCCAATTAATCAGAAAAAAATAATATATATATAGACAGACAGATAAAGTCTTAATTTGCATCAAGAGATACAAAAAAAATGTGACAACTGTAACAGAAAAAATAAACGTGTATTTAAGTAATAGATACTTCAATCGATATGTTGATAGCTCGATCACAGTACGTATATAAGGCACCCTCCTGATTGGACTACGATAATAGACTTACCCCACCGATCATTATTACCCCGACGGTTGCATTTTATAAATCATACTTAACGTAGAAACTTTTATGTCTGTAATAACAGTAACAGACTTTTTAAATAGGTAATAAAATCTAAGTTAAAAGATAACGATTAACAAATAAGTAAATTAAAACAAGTAGATTTTGTTACACGAAAAGAAAACCGAGTTCAGTCGAGACGAAATCGGATTTGAAAATAAAATTTAAAATTTTTGATTTTAAAACTAAACTATTAAACCGATTTTGATTAAATATCTATGAAACCAATTTTAAAGTATCATTACAAAAAAAAAACAATAATTTTCCAAATCGTTTTTTAAATGACGGATTATTAATGACAGAGTTCTGAGGTAACAAACAAAAAAGGTTCAAATGAATTGAAAACTTTTAAATTTAAGAAAAACATCAGTTTACGATTGAACTATAAAAAATAATAAAATTATACATTCGTAAAGAATCTGCAAACATTGCATGGAAATATATACCCATACAATACGTGTATACCAAATTTCATGCCGTTAAAATGCTAAGAAGTAACACACAAACAATCTCATTTTCACATATATAATGATAATAAAAAATATGCTTAAGAAAATATCTCTTTATTTTTCTCTAACATTTAATTTTTTCTTAATTCGACAAACGATCCATGTCAAATTGCTATAACCTCACCGTTTAGAATATTCGTTACTTGCTATATGATTAATTCAACAATTGCATTTTATAAAATAACATTGAATCGTGCTATGATTACAGTACCATTTATGTGGTTTTACATAAAATTGCGAGTTTTCCATTGCAATTTATAATGGAAAATAGAAATGAAATTTCTTACCAACTATGAATAATATAAAATGCAACATTGCTACACTATAATAACGAGAAAATAATATTATAATGTAATAACTACTGTACGTGTACTACGTGTATAATAACTACCATGCATACCTATAAATATTTATATTAAAATTATTTGAAGGAACTTAATAAGACTATTAAATGCCAAAATATTTTTTTTTAGAATTTCTATCTATCTATATGTTTGTTCCGATATCACACAAAAACTACTGTACCAAATTATATGCGGTTTTCACTATTGTATTCCTGAAGGTCTAAATTAAAATCTGGTATATATTTCATCTTGATATGAAACTAGACGTAGTCTTTACCATTGGTAATTTTATTTCCAAAATACACGCGTGCAACGTTCTGAGAATAAATTACAGCGAATGATAAATTAAAAATTGAACTAGACATATATATTTCTAATCCAGAATTAATTACTAAAACTGAATCTAACCTAAATATTATTAGTATAGGTAAGTAATGTTATAATTAATTCAATTAATAGGTAATATGAGCTCAGGCACATCTAGGTGTCGCCATTAGGCCAAAGGAGTGGTCGATGTCAAGGCTTCCACATTTTATATCAGCCCAACATGAATTGTTAGCTACCTACAAGGTGCTTTAAAAAATACAAAACTAATTATTCTGCTTGGAATAGTAAATAAGCAAATATCTATTAAAATATTAACATCTAGTATAGTAATCACTTATATGTCTAAATGTAATGAAATACAATAAAATCATCTTTATTTAAATAAAATATTTGCAAAGTTATTTTTTTAAATTGTCACTTTTTTATAATTCTACTGCTGAGTTCGGAATTTTGTTATTTGTAGAGAAGAAACTCAGTAGTTCTCTTTTTGATTTACTTGTATATAAGACAATTTTATATTTGTAGGAATAGAAGTACGCAGTGTAGAAGGATCCTTCACTAAGTGGTCTGACGATCTCAAATGCATTACAGGGAGTCAGTGGATACAGTTGGCTCAGGGCAGTTCCTTTTGGGAGTCTATGGGGGAGGCCTATATTTAGCAGTGGACAATTAATTGCTAATATAATGAATAATATATAAAGAGAAGTTTTGTCAGTAGTTGCCATGCTTGGCAGACGGGTTGGTAACCGCAATTAGGCTTTCTTGATATTTTAAGACAGATGCTGCTACCTATCTCTCGACCATTAAATATCCTTAGTCGCCTCTCACGACACTTACGGGAAAGAAAGGCCTATGGCATACTATACCACACAACAAATCTTTTTAGATTTAAATAAATATATCCCGAACCCAGCAGTACAATCATGAAAAATTGAAGATTTAAAAGAGCAAGTTTATAAATAAGTATATTTGAATTAATTCTCTAGTCCATACTATTTTCCTATAAGAATTCCACACCAGCAACAGTCTGTTAGAAAAATGAATCCAGTAAATTCTCTGTCAGGGATTGAAAGAAGCCCCGCAATAACAAGAACGGAGTCAAGGCCAAGCTCGTAGTTCAGTAAAATATAAAACGATCTAACGTAATCTTATTTGTATCTCACTTGTACCCTTTACAATGTCAAAAGATAAGACAGAGAAAAGTGGATGACGAAATAAAATTACTTTTGTACGAAATCGGATTTATTATATCTAAAAATACAGAGGCACAAGCCGTTGTTTTATGATTGTAATTTGTAATGACAAGATTTTGAATCTTAGGAAGGGATCATCCAATAATAATCGAGTTCAGTGTCACCCCGATACTTTTGACCTTTAATTTATTTAAATCTTTATTATTGTTAAATTATTTAAGTCGTTTGCTTAGGCATCTTTGTTCAATTCGTGTTTCTACCGTAAAGCAGTTGTGTTTGCATGGCTGTGTTTCAGTTTGAAGGGTGGGATATAGCACTGAATTTACAGGGTACTGAGGAATAAGATCTGAGTTCTCAGGAATGGCAACGCATGGGGGGTATCGTGGGCGAAACAGTATACTCTGTTGTGTCCATGGTACTGCTCATGTCTATATGCGACAGTCACCACCTTCCTTCAAGAGGGCCGTTAGCTTGTTTTCCATTCTAAGTTGTATAAAAAAAAAATATCTTTAAAAGTTATCAAAAACTTTTTTGCTCTCAAAATGCAAACTTTCAGTGAAAGCTTTATATGAATCACATTGCATTATTAACATCAATACAAAATACTGAATATTTTTAAATTATTTTCTGAAATTGATAGAAAAATCCAATATTGCAATACTTAGATGAGCTTTTGTATGAACGCCCTTAAATCTTTTTCATTGACTTTCCTGTTTCGAAAATCTACGCATACGAAGTCCTGAGACAATGCTAGTCAGAATTATATTTACCCCGTTATTGTTAAATATTTTGTAATTTATACTTTGATTTATGGAAGTAGGGAATTCTATTCATATCTACAATGACCTGTTTTAATATAAAGCTATATACAAGTAAAAAAAAGAAAATCCTCTTTCGCAATACAAGCATGATAATGGGCAAGCATGATAATTAATTATAATGAATTGTTAAAAATGGGGATTAGTAGCCCATTGATAGCAATACACCCTGTCAGGACGACCTCCTCGCGGTTCCCCCTGGAAACTATCGTGTTCTATTCCAAGTGAATTTATCACGATAGGCTAACTAACCTGCCTTTTCATTGCCTCCTAACATCATTGGAGCCATTCCATTATCATCTATTTAAAAAAATAAATAGTAACCCGTGGCATCACAATGTAATGTATGTTATACTTAAGTTAGGATATAACTCATTCGTATAACATATATTCGTAGAAATAACTGTCTTTATTAAATAATACATTACATTTAATTAGATCTACTAGCCACCGAACTTAGCCGAGCCTGTATCTTAGTGAAAAGGATAAATTTAATTCAAATCCGTAAAGTAGTTTTTTCGTAAAAGAATAACGAACATTCATCTCAATCCAACACAACTTATTTATAATAGAAATGGGATTAAAAAACATAATAATGGCGATAAAATATTAAAATCTGATTAATTCTTCTCAATTTGCTTTATTAAAAGTTCTCTGTATTAAATATGTATATTGATATTTTTATATATATTTTTTAAAAGAATTTCTAAGTTTATGAATTGAAAATATCCTAAAGCAAAATTTACTTGTAGATACAATTTCTTATTCTAAATTTAAACATTTCCAATCTAACGGTAATTTCGCAAAGACCACTTCGTTCAGTACGAATATATTAATACTAATAACTAGATACATTTATTCATGAAATCTACAAAGAAACCCTATAAGTGATTTGATCACGGAATAAATTATCTATAAAAAAAATACTCAGCAGAGAATTTAATTTGAATTTCCACAATCGTCTAAACCTTTGTTCAACGAAATTAATTACGTAACAGTAAAAAAAAGTGGCAAATTATGTAACAGAAAGTTTAATAGAATAGAATAGAATAGAATAGAAAATCATTTATTCAAATAAACTTACATTGAAGCACTTTTGAATAGTCATTACATTTTTGAATAGTCATTACAATAGTGTAATGTCCTTGAGGCAAAAATAAGTACGTTGCGGCAAAACTTACCTGGTTAGGCGTCGCCGTCTCTGTTGTCATATCTTCGACGGACGCGAGACTACTCTTCTTCTTTCTCTGACATGTACAGCAACCTTTTAGCGTTTGCAGTTTATATTATTACCGGCCGACCGGCAAGAGCTAGGGTCGTGACGGCATAGCCGAACGAATATCGATTTTAGAATGTCCTTGCAGTACAGTCACGAAAATCTACACGAATACAAATGTCCACTGTGACATTGTCGATTATAATATTATTATAATTTTTATTAACGACAATTCTATATCGTTCGTATCACACAATACTAAATTCGAATCGAAAATCGCGAGCCACGCTCCGCCATTTTCCTACCGTATTTCCCTGGTCGTTGCAACACTTAGATTAATAATGAAACTAAGCGACAATTAAAGCTGAAGCGATACACTGCGTTGGCGCGTTGTTTTTATTTATTATAAATTTATTATTAATAACCAAATAGTTTTGAACTAGTTGTTGCGTTTGGAACGTTACCGCAAGGGTGTCGAAGAATTTCGCCGGCACCGACAAGAACTGAGTTTTGGGTGGGGTGGTAGATTTGTTCTGCGACTGCGCGGGGGTGTTTTATTGTGTGCGTAATTCGCGTATATATATACCAATATAACTTGGCCTGTGCCTCCCCTAACGATATTAAGTGTACTAGTAGCTGAAGGGGTATTTTTGGAAGGATGTGTAGATCAAGTTAGAATAGTTCTGTCACGTGTATTCACAAGTATAATCGATAATGTAGACCGGTCAGATGATAGGAAATGTCAGACGCGACGGCGTGGTGATACAGATTCCACGAACAAAGCCCACTGTGGTTTTAACTGTAGTAATTATGTCGCCTATAGATAGACTACAATCCCATTTCATTTTGTCTTTCAATCTATATATATATAAATAGTATAATTCAGAGAATTGTCTTTCAATAAAATTTAGTATGTAAACTATACTGGTACCAAATGTTCTCTTAAAAACTTTTAGTCTAGCTGTAAATTTGTAACAGATTATGTTAGAGGTGATATAGATAATAGTGCCGTGTGGTCCCGGCATAGTATAGGTTACCTCCTTCATTTTGCGTAAATATCGTAAAAGGCGACTAAGGGAACTTATTGGTCGAGGGACGGGCAGCAGCGTCCATTTTTAAATATCACCAAAACCTGGTTAGCCAGGTTGCCAACCCGCCTGCCAAGCGTAGTATCCACTGCTAAAACCTCACAATATATGTTCTGCAGTAGTCAGTTAATGGCTGATGTGATGATGATGATGATGATGATATCCTGAGATGATGTTGTCCACGATATTATTCAAGTCTATAGATTGCAATTTTTAATCAAAACACAAGCAAACATGTTTCTTATTCACTCTAATACAAAGGATTTTTTTTAATGAGTAAAAATGAAATGGTAACCCTGCCTACGCTAACGGTATACACTGGCGGGACTCCAGTGAAACATGACAGGTGAGAATGTAAAGGCAGGTCAGTTAACCCATCGTGATGAATACACCTGGAATTCAGCACGATGGTTTCTAGGGGGAATCACGTGGAGGTTGACTTGACAGGGTATATTGCTAACAATGGTATTTGTAGTCCGCATTACTAACAATCCCTTCCCCCCCTCCCCCAATGTGAAGCGTTTATTAGTTGCTCAAATTTAACATTGCGCGATATTGCTGAAATACAGACTTGAAAATTTTGTCAAAACATGAATAAAATCTCACTCAACTATACATATAAGTTTGTTTATTCAAGCCTTCTCCGCCTCACCAACAATCTCGTATTTTATTCTGCTAAGGCAACCACACTTTAGACTGTAAATCTTCCGTGCTTCTTTGTTTATTTTCTAAGAAATGTATCTCCGATTCCTATGCAGGTAAAGCACGCAGATGACACCGCCTCCTGCGGCAAACCCGGAAACGATAAAACACTTCTAAAGTAGGGTACAAAATGAACTAACATAACTCACCAGTTTGTTTCTTCGTGTAGGTAAAAGTAGGCTGTACATACATACATATCTGTCACGCCTATCTCCCATTAGGGTGGGCAGAAACGATAGAAAATTCAAAATTGATAAAATTAATGAAAAAAATCCTTTTTTAAAAACAAGCTATTATTATTTGTTAATAAAATAAACTAAAAAGTTAAAAATAAATTAACTCTAATAAGAAACATAACACTTTATAAGTTCATTGTAACCTTTAAATTTAATTAAGCTTTTTCGTCTACGACAAAATAATTCCGTATCGTACATAATTATATATATTTTTAAGACTTAAATTTTACACCTTAATTATTAAATTTTCCCGTTTTTATCACACTCCCAATTATATAAATAAGGGCGTGTTACATTGTGATGCCTTATTATTGTACGCCTATTCTAACCGAAACAGGACATAAACACATACCAACCCTAAATCAGTCAGTCGTAATTTTGCTAGCCTAATTATTGCCCAGCTACGGACCTGGTTTCTGCCCGCCGGTCTGGCCAGTAAAATTAATTATATAGTTGGATTTATTTATTTATAGCAAGGCAACAGATTACAAATTAATAAATTAATAAATATTAATAAATACATCTATAAAATAAATATTACTAATTAATTTGATATCACAGTGAAATTTTTATTATAAAGACCAATATAAACTAAATTTCTAACTGATTTAAGTAAAAAATTATTATAAATTTAGTTTATGTTCAGATTATGGTTCTTAAAATATTATTTTAAATTGCAGCACACAAATAACAACAGATACTGGTGCATACTCAAAAAAAGTAAATAAAAGAATACATATACAAAAAAAAAACTTTACTAAAACATACAGTAATAATAACAATTAGAAACGACCTAAGCAAAGATGAACTTATCTTTAAAAGAGATATCTTCCAGTCAACCTAGCAAGTAAATACCTTCGGAAATAATATAATTTACTTCTTGGACTCTCTAGAATTCTAGATTGTAATTCCCATTATTGAAATCCTTCCTTACCTTTACCAGAGGGAGACTTCGTAGTCGTTTCGTCGTCGAAGTCGTTTGTTTGGATACCTCTGTCTCATTCGTATTTCAACCGTGAAGCAGTTGTGTTTGCCCAACTGTGCTCCAGTTTAAAGGATGAGATATGGCAGTGAATTTACAGGGTACAGAGGAATAAAAAAATAAAAAATAAAGTTGTATAAAAAAAAATACTTCCTGTTTAAAAGTAACAAATAATACCTGATAGTGCACACTACAGACAGATGGGAGGAAAGGGATTGTTAGCAATGGGGTTTGACAACCCCATTGTTAGCAATATGCCTTATTAGGTCGACCTCCACGTGGTTCCCCCTGGAAACCATCATGAACAATTCTTGTTGAATTCGTCACGATGGGCTAACTGACCTACTTCATCCTCACCTATCATCCTTCACTGGTGCCCCGCCGGTGTATACCGATAGCGCGGGTGGGGTTACCATTCCATTATCATTCATTAAAAAAAAAACTACAGACAGATAACCGACAGTTCTAATAACTAATAACCAACGAGCTCTCAAATAACATATCTAGACTAAACAGTACCGACGAAATGAGACTGATTGATATTCTGGTGAAGTAATGTTGGGTCTCGAGTTCGTGAATTTGTAGATACGTAAATAATATTTGTCTGATGCCTTGAATAATTTTATAGAGAGATACTCTTTATTGTTTCCTCCAAAAGATTACAATAGTAAACTTACATATTATAAATATAAATAATTACAAGAAATAAACACAATGAGAAAACAATGGGCGAATTTTATTATCCAACAGAACAATTACAAGTGCAGACTTGTTTGTTAAAAAAAAAGACTATACAGGTTGCAATGACAAGCAAAAACTATGTGTTAGGTTAGGTTAAAAAATATCATTCAACGAATAAACATTCTTTTATGTTACTTTTTTTTTGATGGGTGAAAATGGTATGGTAACCCCGCCTGCGCTAACGGGATACGCTGGCGGAGCACCAGTGAAGGGTGATAGATGAGAATGAAAACATTCCAGTTAGCCTATCAATTAGGAATTAAGGAATTAACCATGATAGTTTCCAGGGGGAACCGCGAGAAGGTCGACCTGGTTGGGTATATTGCTAGTAATGGGATTCTGTCTCCATCACTAAAAATCCCTTTCCCCCCCTTTTATGTTACTTAGAATGATAAACAAGCTGACGGCCGACCTGCTGGTAAGTGGCAACCGTCACCTATAGACATAAGCAGTACCGTGAACATAACAGAGTATACTATTTCGCCCATGATATCCCCCATGCGTTGCCATTCCTGAGGACTCAGGTGTTATTCCTCTGTACCCAGTAAATTCACGCCATACCCCACCCTTCAAACCGAAACACAGCCATACAAACACAACTGCTTCACGGTAATACGAATGGGACAGAGGTACCCAAGCAATCGACTTTTGTACAAAGTCTCCCTCTGGTATTTCTTAGTTGTTATTAATTGTTATTAGTAATATAATACTAATAACAATTACGATATGAATAGATACACATCAATACTTAAATACAAAGTTAAATAATTAAAATAAATAAATAAATATTAATAAGAAAATACGTACCTATCGTGATACAATTTCAATTACTGCATAATACTGTAACAGATTCTTAGACTATTTTTAAAGTGAAAAAAAGTGTTGTCCTCCTCTCTCGTATTTGCTGCTCCCAACAGGGTCCATAATTGAAGTTGAAATGTTATCTACTAATTATATTATGGAATGTAATAAGAAGTAAATAAATAAAATAAAAAAAGGTAATGACCTTTTTTCTGCCACTAATGTCTAGAGAAACCCAATATATAGATATCGAATCGGTATCCATATTACCTATGCCTAATAACAATACACTTTTAATATATTTATTACACTTATGACATAAAAAAAAACACTTTCACCATGAAACTGAACGGTAACCCTATACTGCTCATGTCTATTTCTATAGTTCACGCGGCTTCATTCATGAAAATATGACCCAGAGATCCGTGTTCCGATTTAGAAGTGAATTTCGTGAAGCAAGAATATATGTTTCACTGCTGGGTTCCGATTATTGATAAGAAAGAACAATAATATCAGTTTAATCATTTCTAAAATTCCTCATCATCATCACCATCATATTAGCCTTTAACTGTCCACTGTTAAACAAAAATTTTGAGACAAAAGTTTGCTACCGTGAAGCAGCTGTGTTTGCATGTGTGTTTCGATTGCTGTACAGAGGAATAACACTTAGTCTGTCCCATTCGTTATGTCCATTCTGTTGTTTAACTGCCATTCTAAGTTGTATAAAAATAAAAAAAAAATAAACAAGGTTGTGTTTGCATCATCTCTCAGTCGCCAAATTCCATCAACAGTAAAAATAAAATTCTTTTCCTTGTTTATAACGTCTTCATTTATTTCTTCTTTCTTTCTAGTTCTTTCTTATGTTTATATATGTATCATAATTATTATTATATCAGTCGTTATCTGATAGTTCCTGAATGTAGGCGTTCTCCATAGATTGAACAAAGAATTGTCCTGAGCCTTCGCTGACTCTTTACAATGCATTTGAGGTCATCACACCATTTAGTGGGGGTTGCTAATCAAGAATCTTTATTTCCTCTCGGTTCTTTGTTCTTCGAGATATGTGACCAATCCATTGCTATTTTAGCTCGCTTATCTTTTGGACTATGTCGATCACTTTGGTTCTTCTCCGGATATCCTCATTTCGGATTCTATTACGTAATGAAACTCCGAGCATATCTTGAATAACTTGAAGCTTTTGCATACGAGTAACCGTGTACGTGTGTTTGGGGGGAAAGGGATTGTTAGTAATAGAGACTGAGAATCCCATTGCTAGCAATATACCCAACCAGGTCGACCTCCTCGCGGTTCCCCTGAAACTATCATGATTAATTCCTGATGAATTTATCATGATGGGCTAACTGGGCTGTTTTCATTCTCATCGATCACCCTTCACTGGTGCTCCGTCAGCGTATCCCGTTAGCGCAGGCGGAGTTGCTATTCCATTTTCTCCCATCAAAAAAAAACCGTGTACGTGTATAGCTTGTTAAAAAATAATTAAAATTACTCTTAAACTTAACAATAAGTAGGATAGTGTAATGTGGGTATTTCATAATATTGTATGTAGGTAGGTGAGATTTTGATAGCTTATAAAAGGACGTGTTTTATTTATTACAGATAGATAAAGAAATACCTTTTTATTCTTCTATTAAGTTCATCAAAGGAACTCCATAAACATCTGTACAGCGTTATCGGACGATCACTTGAACAGCAGAAGCAACATTGATTTATCGCAAGCGCATCGATGATGAACAGAATCAGTACATGCTCGAAATCTCGCTGCATCCATATGTGCGATCAACGCTGTTAAAATTAGTCAGTCGAAATCGCGATGTCAAAGAAGCGTGTACGCATCGATCCGCGCTGTATGTTTACATTATTTTACGGAATAATACGTTCATGTAAAGTTATTTTTATGAGTGAAAAACACTGGCCACTTCTGGATTTGAAATCGGAACGTGTTCGTCGGTGCGCGGTTGTGCGGTTTTGAAATTGGAATCGTGAGCCCGCGGTTTTCTCTTTTCAAATGAAATGTTACGTTCCTTTTTACGTTACATTCGTTAACTTCCAGTTTTAAGTGTCTCTCTGTGGTGTTTAACTGTGTTTTCATTTGTTTGTTGTATGTTGTGTTTGGATGTTTCACAGCTGAAAGCTTCAAATATATTTTTAACAAAGGTATGACATTATTCTTTTTCTTTTTTTCGTAAATAAACTTCGTTGTAAAATTCATGCCATTTTCTTTTAAAATAATATAAAATAAATACATTTAAGTACACAATTTAGTAGATATCAATTATAATTTTTAAGAACATTTATTCCGCATAACGGAACATGCAAAGTTAAAAAAAAAAAAACTTGCAAAAGGATGGAATTAAAGCCACTGACGCAGTCTTAGCAGTAATAAGGGTTCTATCTAGATATCGAATCTAGATAGAACCCATACTACTCTACGTACTTGACACATTTTAAATAATGATATCAGTACGTATATACATTAACTTTTTTAATTCTATCTGCTAGTACCAATTTCAAAAGTCAAATAAAGATAGTTTCTAAGTTAAAATAATAATGAATAAATTTGACATAGCAGCCAATTTGTAACATTCATTTAAATTTCTAGTCATAAACCTAAATTTTGTATATGAAACAACGAATTATAAAGTATTACCAGAAATTAAAAAAATATCTAAGATCCATTCATAAGAACCCGGATAAACTTCGAATTAATTGTATCAAACATTTTTAAATTGAGAAAAGTAAAAAGTAAACTGAAAGAGATCTCAATGAGAGACACATGCCCCATAAGAGCGTAGATAGAAAAAAACTTATTTAAAAACTTATTTGTACTCGTGAGCTGTGATTTTTTTTTTAACAATATTAAGAAATCTTACTAACTTAGAAGTGCCTTAAAAATACGAGGCAATAGGATTTGGCTAGGTAGTTTTGTACGCTTCATTTATAACCTTAAAAAAGGTTTTAGACTGTGCAATGTAGCAAATAGGGACTTATTGGAAATTTCCAAAGGAACGGAAGATGCCACGCTTGAGATAGCGCGTGCAAATCTAGAGAATTTCTGTAATCTGTCTATCTTTATATATGTATGTTTACGCTTATTTTTTTGTTATATCCACTTTTATATCGTTACATGAACGCACGCCAGACGTGAAAATTTCATTTGTCATTGTTTATAATTCTATTTGCTAATGGAGTAACACTCCTTTTTTCCACTTAGTACAAAACTCTACAAAATGCTGAACCAGCGTGAGGACTTTTTTTTCAATGGATGATAATGAAATGGTAACCCCGCCTGCGCTAATGTTATTCGCTGACGGGGCATCAGTGAGGGATGATAGAACCGAAACACAGCCATGCAAACACAACTGCTTTACGGTTGAAACACGAATGGGACAGAGGTACCCAAGAAAACGACTTCTGTACAAAGTCTCCCTCTGGTAAAAGTTTATATTATACTAGTTTTTCACTATATAATTTAATAATACTTTTTATACTAGTTGTTCACGCGTGGTGAGTGTTTCCCCTTTAAGAATTTTATCATGCAACTTAGAATGGCAAACAAGCTGGACGGCCCACCTGATTGACCATCAACGTATAAATGATGATGATTCACAATTTAAATTTAATTAAGTTATAAATGTAATTTTTCAACTAAAAAGTTATGGTTAAGTTTTGTTTTTGTAATAAAATATTACTTAATTCAATATAACATTAAAAAATTTAAAAATATATATATATTTAAAGATAAGATTAAGTTATAATGTATTAAGCTATCTCTTGTGTCAGATGTCAGTCACATTTCATTTTTAAATTATTTTTCACGGTAAACTTAATGATACTCGTGCCCTTAAAATAATCATATATAATGCAATGGATCTAACAATTTCGAGCTACTCATATATACATACAAACATAAAATGCATAAACTTCGCTTGTTTCCCATTCAGATGAACAGAAACACTGAAACATTAAATTTATCTGTAACAGATATATTTCACCTCTTACACATTCATCACAGATAGATAGATACTCTTTATTGTTTCCCCCAAAAGATTACAATAGTAAACTTATTATAAATATAAATAATTACAAGAAATAATCACAATGAGAAAACAGTGGGCGAGCTTATCGCTAAAAGCGATCTCTTCCAAGCAACCTTTGGATGGAGAGGAGTCACGATGAAAAATTCTATTAACTTTTAACAATACACGTATAGAGAAAGTATAGGGTTTGTTAGTTCAAGCCGAGTCCATGTACCTTTGATATTATCGACGCGGTATCTATTTCGGGCGTCCTTGATAGAAGATTGCGACAGAACGCATTCAGAGACAAACCGCAGCTGTATCCCGATTTATCTTATCCAGCATTCCACTATACATAGGTAGACCGACAGGCAGACATTACAATGTCTGACAATATATGGATTACTAATTTTATGGATGGCAAACCTATATTCACTATGGGGAGAAATGAATAGATAGATAGATAGATACTCTTTATTGTTACCTCCAAAAGATTGCATTACATACAGTAAACTAATAAAAAAAATATAATGCAAATAATTACAAGTAAAGATTATATTGAGAAAACAATGAACGGTCTTATCTATAAAAGCGTTCTCTTCCAGGCAACCTTCACATGGAAAAGAGTAGAATAAACAGTTTGACCGGAACCACGAAGCTCTGTTCGTACACGCTCGTTCGCTATCGATACACGCTATTGTTAACCATTATATTATAATTTCAAAATTTCTTAAAATACATGTAACTCGTTAAAGTGAAGAACGGAACGCCACTAATATATACCATATATATTAAGTATTTGGGCATGTGTGTGTTGGTTTGCCCTTGCCTTGGGTAGTTCCAATTTAATTTTACTGGATTGGCAGAAAATAACGAATTGTTGTTGAAATTATGAATTTTAATATTGAAACTAAACTATATAAATTTACAATATATATATATATATATATATATATATATATATATATATATATATATATATATATATATATATATATATATATATATATATATATATATATATATATATATATATATATATATATATATATATATATATGAAAATGAAGAGGTGACGGTATATAAAAAGCAATTCAATTGTAACGAACGACGTGAATGTGGCTGCTGATTAGTGGGTCGTCGCAATTTGCTTCACACTTCACGCTTCTTTCAGCAACCATAGATTATGCAGTAATATTAAGAATACGTCTACGAATCTGTTTATCCAGATCCACTAGAGTTTTTGAGTTTGACTTTACAAAATTACAGTACTATCGGAGTCCTAGATCAATAACGAAAAATCGGTATTTCTGTATAATTTTAGGAGATACTAGCTTTTTGTTCGCTTCGTACGAATAGATTGCAGAATTAGAAATATTATTAGGATAAATCACTTCTAAACAACACATAAAAAAATAACCACTAGTTTTTAAGTTAGACTTTCAAAATACAAATGTAAAAACTAGTAGTTTTTACATGACACCGGTACTAATATATAGGTAAACAAAATTTCTAAAAAATATTATTTTGGCTCTTATAAAGAACTCTCATATTTCACAATTTTTCTTAAATATCATATACAGTTACTGTCAAGTTACAATTTTATTATATTAGTAAGATTACTAAAAAAATAACAAAAATAATATGTATGTATTTACAAGGGCTCTCACCGGACAGTGCAAACTAAACAAGCACATGACCGAACTAGGCATATATGCCCAAAAAATATTTGTAGATTTTGTCACATTGAGAAAGAAACGCCGCAACACTTAATTGGTAGCTGTAGTTCTCATATATAAACAATATAATTGTCTGTAAGAGATTGCCCTAGCGATAAGACCGCCTTTTATACCTTTATGTGTATATTTCAATCTGTTTTTACTTTACTGTATTTCACTTGAATTATTCACTTGTCATTGTATATTTTTATTTATGGTGCAATAAAGAGTTAAATAGATAAATAAATATATCTCCTTTAGAAAATACATGTTATATCCTAAGGAGACAAAAAATATTGCTACAAAAAACATCTTCAAATCACAAATAGGAATTAGCAGCGAACTTTAAAAAAGGGCGAGTACAAAAGATCATGGAAAGGTCGCTTTATCACAAGTTTTTCTGCCTGAAAAAGCCCCTCTCTGAATAATAATAAAACGGAAGACTACTAAATATAGAGTTGAACATATTAAAAACTATCTTATATGTTAATTTATGAATATAAATAATAAATAAAATGTCCGAAATTTTAAAGTCATTCAACATGATTAAGTAACAAACATCACACCGTCCAAACAACTCAACCCACTTCCGCATTTATATTATTAGTAGATTTAATCTCAGCGAAGTTAATCAAAGATTTATATCTACTATGTCTATATTGCATTTTACCAACTTTACACCATTGTTTATCACGATAGGGTTATCTTTTATAAGAACGAGGCCGAAAGATATGAAACAAAATGAAATAAAACAGCAAAGAAATTCTGTACTCTAGCATACGTGATCATATTTTTTTTTATGCAACTTAGAATGCCAATCAAGCTGACGGCCCACCTGATGGAAAGTGGTAACTGTCGCCTATAGACATGAGCAATACCATGGACATAACAGAGTATACTTTTCGCCCATGATACCCTCCCATGCGTTGCCATTCCTGAAGACTCAGGTGTTATTCCTCTGTACTCAGTACATTTACGCCATATCCCACCCTTCAAACCGAAACACAGTCATGCAAACACAACTGCTTCACGGTTGAAACACGAATGGGACAGAGGTACCCAAGCATCATTATATTGAATTTGTAACTCCTTCTATAAAAGTTAGTCCAGAGTTGACCAGTGTATCATCATGTCCGCTACTGAACATAAGGTTCCCCCTTGGGGGGTCTTCCCAGTAGTTGCCACGCTTGATAGGAGGATTGACAACCGCAGTTAGGCTTTGGAGATATTTTAAGAGGAACGCTGCTGCCGATCGCTTGCCTTCTATTAGTCATCTCTTACGACATCCACGGGAAAGGAAGGGATGGCCTATTCTATGCCGAGACTAGTGTATCAGTTAGTACAATGTTTCAAACAGTGTGATTGTTACGTCATCATTGCTTCTAGAAAATCTTCTGGACAACATATTTTTTATTCTATT